AGTACAGTGTGCGAAACTTTATATGCGTACCTACTGATTTTTTAGACAATTTCATTTAAAATTTTACAATCTTTTTCCGAGAATCTTACAAGATTCATTCAAAAAAAAAAATATCTCTGTTATATTCCAACACTTTTACTTCATATTTTTGTATTCATAAATAGGTTCTTTCACCTACAATAGGTCCATAAATTCGCGAAACTCAATAAAATATGGAAAAAAAGTTTGGAAATTTTTATATTTGTTTTACGATAAAGAAAAAGTTTTGTTATAATTTTCGTTTTCTTTCTTTTTTAAGAAAAACGCGCGTAAAATCCAAAATTTGAATAAATCCAAAAAAAAATAAAAGTGGAAAATGTAAAATGAAATGGAAAATTTTGACTCTCTTTCAATGCTTTCAAAAATTGTGAAATCAAATGCGGTAAAATGTTCGGGTATTCTTTGATTCTCCGTTTTTTTGTTTTATTTTTCCCTTTAAATCTTGTTTTGAATAATTTGCCACGTGCTACACCAGTTTCATGTACCCACAGGAGTATTGAGAATTTTTTTTTCTCTAAAAAAACTTTGTAAAACCTTCCGCCACCACTAAAAACCAGAAAGACATAAGAATAAATTTTTGAATTAAGTTTTCGGGAAAAAATTGTGTTACACACTTTTTTTTTCCTCTTTATTTTTTGTTTGTTTGCTACATAACAATATTCTTGTGATTCTAAAGGTTATGGAATATTTTCATAACCAAATATTATGTACGTGGAACGCAAAAAATTGTTCAATTCCTTCAATATTCTTTGAGTCTTACACCCATTCAATAAGAAAAATTAAGGTGAAACAGTAAAAAAAAATTTGTAATAAAAAATTTCTTCCACATATTCAAAATTAGAAGCAAAAAAAATTATTAAAATTGAAAAATTATGTTAAATAGAAAAAATATTTTGTTTGTAATGCAATTGGTAGTAAGTTGAAGAAGAAACAAGGTGTGTACATACTTAGAATATCAAAGAAACACAAAGTAACCTCTACCTAAGATATTTAAATTTTAATAAAAAAAAATTTTAACCTACATAAAAATATTTGCACTTATATGAGAAAAGATTGTTTTTTTTTTACCTTTAAATCCTTAATCAATATACTCGCGAACGCATATGGTGACGCGGAATATTTTGTTTTGCGTCAATAAAAAAATCACCTATTTTAATACTGGTTTCATTTTAAATTTTAATTTTAATATTAGATTTACTAAGGATATAGGTGTTTCCTGCATAAATTGTATACTTAAGCGATTAAGATTTAATAAAATTCTTCCGATTTTTTAATAGAGAAATTGGCATATAATTGGAGTCGAACTGAAACAGAATAATATGTCCTACACAAACCGAAGCGATAACGCTCAATATGACCCATATATCATATTCTTATTAAACGCCAGGTTGACTTTATGTTTTGCAATTTGCATAATTATGATGTGTACATATCAATTCAACTGGAAGACAGGAGCAATATAAATTTATTTTGAGTATTGAAAACTACCAAGTAAAAATTTTCGAATTCTTTCAAAATTTCCTCACGAATAAAATCAGGTAAAAGTTTTTTAAGGTTATTCAAAAGAACTATAAATGCTATGAGCAGAAAAACACCAAACACTTTTTGCATTTGTAGATCTGCCACAACCCTACTATGAACTCGATCCTACACGGTTTTGTAAGACATAAGGTTCTTGCTTTCAGAACAAAATCTGGTGGTTTTTGAAAATTCAGTTCTAATTTAGATCTTAATAATGAAGCATATTTAATAAATCAAAACAAAAAATTTTCAAATTCATTGCATATTCGACAAAATCTTTACTACAAAAGGAAGCACGTTCGAATTTAAAAGCATTTTTAAGTGTTCCTTAGCATTCTTAAAGTGTTTCTGTAGCATTCTTAAAGTGTTCTAAAGCATTTTTAAAGATTTTTTAAATACTACAAAAATCTTAAAAGGTAAACAGCTAATTCCTATGCAAAAAATCTATTTTGATCCTAAGCTACATTAAAAATAAGAGTTTTTTAATGTAGCTTGTTCTATTTTTAAGACCAAAAAACGTACCTTGGCTCGAATATGTAAATATATATAGGCAACCGAATTCGGCTTAGACAATCATTATTGTATTACTTGCAACCAATTTAACTGAATGTAACATAATGATTCTATATCTATTCTCTAAGAATTAGTAAGCATTTAATCATCCCTTCGTATTATAATGCCAAAATTTAGATTACAATTAATAAAAAATTTAAAATTTTCTAATTTTACAATTTATGACTAAAACTTATGTTTAAAATTTTTATAAAAAATTTTCAATAGCCATAGATGGTTGTTTTTTCTATTTAATTCTAAAATAAGATGGTTGTTTTTTCTATTTAATTCACAAATATCTACAATTTTGTTTTGAAAGCATCTGATTCAATTCTAAAAAAAAAAATAACATCCAAATCATTTAACATCAATCCAATTATGTACTTGTATAAATAAAATTTTTAATTTTACATTAGAAATACTAGCTACAACAATATTAAATATTATTTAATTCAAGAATTTTATTTTTAATATTTTTGCAATTTTTCTTAAAATGGATTTGAAACAAAATTTGCAATTTCTAATTTTTTTTTCTTTTCATATTATTTTTATATTTTTAATTGCAATATTTTATTAATTTAATTGTCATAGACCCCTGCATGCATGCACATGTATGAGTATATATTTATATGTTTTTTATTTAAATTTCAAGTATACCTATTTTTATAATTCTTGCATTTGTATAATACTATTTACTAAATCTATCTTCTTATAACACAACTACATATAAAAAATTTTAGTTGTAAACTTAAAATGTACATTCATGTTGATTTTAAATGACATGACAATTAATTCAAGTACTAAAAATTAATATAAATATTAGTGATTTTTTGTTTCATTCTAAAAAAAAAACACAATATTATTGTTAATTTTAGTTTGTTCTGCTCTTTTTTAATTATTTATTACAAAAATTTTAATAAATTTCTAAATTTAAGTAAACGTACTACTACTACTAATTACTACTACATTTAAGTTACTATATTTCATATACATATATACCTATGTATAAAAGAGAAGTATATATAATTAAATTCTTGCAAAATTCTTTCATTTGTCCCACATAATATGCAATCAACCATAAAATACTAACACTATTAAAAAAAAACTGATCTTCTATTCATTGAAGAATTTTTCTTCTTCTTATTTCATTTACTATTTTAGTATGCAGTTACCTTTTAAGGGTTGAGTACAAATTCTCTATTTAAAAAAAAATTACTAATACAAAAGAAAAATTGTTTCTTTTATGTGGGGGTGCAACAAGTTTTTTACAATAATTATTGTTAAATTCATTTCATTTCTTTTCATAATTGCATTTTGCATTTTAAATTTTAAAATATAAAATTTTATTGTCTTAATTTTAAATGGATGGATGGATGGTGTGACTACTTATAATAAAAATTTTATTTTAATTCTAAAATAAATTTTAATTTTAAATTTTTAAAATTTATAAGACATTTCATATGTGTTTAAAGAATATTAAATTAAAATTTTTATATTTTCTGTCATTTAATTTTATAATTTAATTAATTTATAATTAAAATAATCTAATTAGATAATTAAATAAAAATTGTTTCATTACAATTTATTCAAATCAATTTTAAAATCTTATAAAAATCAAAATCAACATAAATTTTTTCAAAAGACAACAAAAATAAAAATATTAAACATGAGGGCGTCTTCCAAAATTTATGATTTTACGTCAACTTTACAAATTTTTAAATTTTCTATTTACGAATAAATTTTAGTATGCATCCAATCGAAGGAACAAGATTTTAACAAGTAACAAAAATATGAAATTTGTGTATAGCTTTGCTTTATTCTACGAAAACATTGACATTTTTTGTTGCTTACCAAAATGCAAAACAATAACTTGCAAATTATTTTGTTTAGCAAAATTCTTAGTAAAAAGTAAAATGCATAAACTTGACGTCAAAAGTTTGCATTTTAGTAGGCGCTCTATACACAAATGAACATGTTTTTATTAATCTGCATAAAAAAAAAAAATAAAAATTTTTCAAACATGATTTGAGTAAATTTTTTTACAATTTTTTTTTGCAAATTAATCTCCAAAAATCTTAAAACTTTGTAATTGCCCTTATGATGAATGCTATACATGAGTAAATTGTTATTTATAAAACAAAAATTGAGGTTTTTATGTCATTTAAAATTTTATTCTATTATGATTTTGTTTTACTGAAAAATAATAGAAGATTAAGAATTTATAAAAATATTTTGTTGAAAATTTTAAATTTTAATTAAATGGCACACGAATGAAGGCAGAATTGCTTCTTAAATTTTCACGAAAAAAATTAAACAAAATTTTCAAATGAGCACCATTATTACATTGTAAATTTTAATTGTAAATAATGATTTATTCCGGAAATGAACTTCATTTATTGAAGAGTACAATAAAATATAAAATCTAGTGGTGAAAATTTAAATGCAATTCTAATATTTACTTGAATTTTCAGTAAAGCAATTACAAATAAAATAGTTTTTCGTAGACGCACTCGTCTTCATTGATAAAAATATTGTTCAATGAAAATGAGCCAAAAAAATTCTAATAATTTTAATTATATCTTTACACCCACCTGATATTTACCCTACTAAAATTTTTCCTGTTTATGAGTTTACATGAATTTCTAATGATATTAATTTTGACTACAGTACATTAAAATTAATTACAATTCAAATTCTTTATACATACATGCCTACATTTTCTCAAAGAAACAAAATTTTATATTAGAGATTAATCATTAAATATTTTCATTATTAATCACATAAAATTGTTGATTGAAATTCATCATTTAGAGAGCAAGCCTAAATATAATTCAATTTAAATGCAAAAATCTATTGTTCTATTGGTTTTTATAATAGTTTTATAAAATTAGATAATTTGAATATTAATGTTATAAATTAAATAAAATCTAAAAATTAAAGTTCTGCAATACATGAAAACTCAGTTTTAATTAGAAGGAGGCTTGGATTTCTTTCTGATTCCAATTCTGCTATTTTCTTCAATAAGGAATTTTTGAGCACTGTTATACTCTGCAATATTCTGCTATTTTTCATCCACAATTTTATTTTTAATATTTTGCCTTATTTTCTTTTCTTAAATGATTTTAAAATTATTTCATGAATATTATTTTTAAAATATTCTTCACCAACTTGAACACTTTGATCCATTCTTTCATTTACATTTATTTCATCTGGAGTTCCAGTTAAATTTTCCAATTTTTTACTTTTACTACAATTACATTGTTTAACAATAGGTTCTTCAAATGTATAAATATTTATTCCTGGACTTAAATTAACATCTGCTTCAAATTTCTCATATTTTGTATGCTTCCATATTGATATTGCTTCTAATGTTTCGATTCTTTTATATAAATATCGAAAAAAATTTATTTTTTCTAACCATGGTCGAAAAAATAAATGCAATTGTATTGGTCCAGTTGGTGAAAATTTAATTTCATCATCAAAACTAAAAAAACAAAATTTTTCTTAATGCATTTTTTAATGATGCAAATTTTAAGGAATTAAATAATTTTTTTACCAATTTCCTGAATCATCTTGTGTTATACATGAATCAATAGCATAAACTGCATGTAATAAATAAATTGAACCGCAAACTAAGGATGAAATGCTCTTGAAAATAAAAAAAAATTAATTTATTAGAAATTTTGTTAAAAACGTTGGAAGCAGTTATTCTTTATATTTTCTTTTGAAATTGTCATTTGCGTCGACATCTATTGTTAAATAGAAAATTTAATATGAGATTTTTTATATTTAAACCATTTTTATATTCATTTCTATTGAATTAAGCGACATCTAGTACCAGAAATATACGATTTTTAAAACAAAATATTTGATTTAATTTGAAAAAACACCGCTGCATATTCAAAGTGTTCAACTACAAGGTTCGCAACTTTGAAAAATTATTTAGAAGCGAGAAAATATAGTAGGAAATTGAAAATTTAACCAAGGAAAATTCCTACTTCTACAAATCAAATTTCAAATGTAAATTTAAGAAAAAAAAAAAGAAATTTCAACAATCACTCATCACAGTTCAATTTAAAATTAAGATAAATATTTAAAAAAAATTAAATATTGCAAAATTACTAATTTCAAATTATTTTTTTAGATTTTCTAAACAAACTATACCAAGTGAGCTTTAACCGTTTTTACCTGTGATTTACAAATAACAAAAAATTCATGTCTTCCTTCTTCTTCATCTGATAAGTACATTAAATGAAAATCTTTTTCAGCATAATACATTGATGCAAAAGCTGAAAAATAATATGCAATACTGCCTATTACTGCTATAATTGATTCCATTATTGGTGGTGATGTTGCACCCAACAGCATTCCTTAAAATAGTAAGAACAAATTTTAAATATCAATTCGACCAAGGCATAATTATAAGTACTCACTTATTTGTGATAATAAACTTATTATTAAAAATCCAACAAATGTTCCACAAAAAAATACGGTATGAGGTTGAGGTTCAACAGAATAAAGAGTACCATTTATATGATAAACAAGACATATAATTCCAAATATCTGAATTAATCAATTGAATTAATTGTTCATAATTCGTATACGTGTAATTTATGATGAATGTTAAGAGACATAGAAAAAATAATGAAAAATAAATTTTTAAATAAATTTTAAAAAATTGATAGAAAAAAGAACTAATTTTCATTTTTGAAACCTAAATTTGAAGAAAAGAAAACCTTAAAATTTTGAAATAAAAATTTGACTGCAAATTCAAATAAATTCGAAAATATGTAATTATTTTTAAACTCACCATTTCGATAAATTTAAATGTAAACCAGACATCACGATTTTTTCCAATTTTCAAAACTTTATTCAATTTTAAATTTTTTTCAATGTCAATATCTTTGGTTGTCTCTTGTGATTCTGCATCGTCTTCACATGGTCCTATGGTTTCCATTGACTCCATTTCAAAATATTTTATTTGATTTTATTATTTTATTTTTTCAAAAATATCAAATCTTCTTTCAAAATTAAAAAAAATACAAGTCAAAGTTCACTTGACTAAAAAAAAAATTGAAATTTGACAAGAGGCCAACATTACGATTGTTTAGAGCAAAACTATCCTAAGTCAATTTTAATTTTTTTAAGAAATATTCTATGTCAGTTGCGCGCTCAACGCGAGAGTGTATGTACTCATTAATGCATTATAAGTATTTCGGCTTGAAAATCATTCGAGCGTGCTATTTCTCTATACATATATTTTAAAATTAAGTAAAAAAAAATTTACTCTCCTTAACAATTTGTAAATTGTGACTTAGAATAGTTTTGTTCTAAACAGGCGATTAATTTAATTTGACACTTTGTAACTGAAAACGTCAAATTAAATTACTATGCTTTCAAAACTACTCGGCACAATTGCCACCGTTAGGAATAATAAATTGCTAAGCGTCAATAAAATAAACAAAAATTGCTTTAGCTTTAAAATTTTTGGATTTTGGACAAATACATTGAGGATTACATCACTTTCTGTTGATTAAGTATTTGGAAAAACACTAGTGTATCAAATTCTATGAAGCTTTACACAGTGTAATCCCACATACATATATATTTACATAGTAGACTGCTTGATGTAAAGGAACTTATTAAGAAAGCAGAAATTACAAATACAAAAGAAGAACGAATTATTTTAATATTTTCTATTTTTAGGCTGCTGTTATCAAAGGTAGATGATTGAAAACGAAAGCTGTTAACACATCAAATTTAAGACATGAATTGATTTATAGCCTCTACATACTTATATGTGCTGCTCCACAAAATTAATTAGGTACATCAAAATGCAATAAATTAAATTATATTTTTTTTTAATTATGTCCGAGTGTACTGATAATTTTGAGTGAATCAAGCACTAACTACTACCTTAATACATACCCTACATTATTAATTGCAGACATTTTATTTAAAAAACATTCCATCTTTGTAAATGTAGGACCTATTTACAAATTCAAATTTTATTATTATTCTATTTTATTTCGTTATTTACACATTGTTACACAATGTAATAACTTATAAAAATTATTACATAGAACGACGAGCACGAATGTGCACCGTTTCATATACAAAATAGAAAAAAAAACAATTTAACAATTTTTCGACCTGATTTATTAAATCACACATCGAATCAACCTTAAACGTTCCTATTAAATTAAACACCCATAAATAAACCACATACTATAAAATATTGTTGGCATAAATAAATTATAATTTAAATTGTGTGTTAATTATTCACTTAAAAAATCAAAAGGTATGTGAGCACATATATTTTTAAGTCCTCAATTTCATTTATAATACTATTATGAGCACCTATCATTAATATAATTGAAAAATTTATTCAAAATTAAACATTTAATTTGGCGCCTTATAATTATCGTATAATTTCATTTTCGGTTTCTATTTTCTCTCCTTCCTTAACAATGTTGCATTCTGCACTCCCATTTCTATATAACCTTGTATTAAAACATAGATGTTTTCTCATTTCCTTTTTAAAGTTTTCTATGTAATAAAAAAAAAAGATAAGTGTTCAGAAGGTTCAAATATAGTATACAAAATAACACCACTCTTCCTTTTTTAACCACAAATCAATTAAAAGAAAATACGAAAAATAAAATAAAAAAAAAAAGATAAGTAATTTAAATGTACCTATATTCCGACCTATTCGTCATAGCCCTGATTTCAATACAAAAATAAGAATTCTAAAAATACATTGTCATATACATATAGCCTACATATGAAGGAAATTTATGTTGATTTCAAGGTCTTTTTTAACACTTTTTATTGTTGATATTAAGTGAAAAAAAAAACTTGCAAAAAAAATTAAATTCTAGTTTCTAGATAAAATCTTATAGGTTCACATTATCTGAACACCATCTGTATATCGCGCAACCTCCGTTTACGTATGTATCAACACAAAAATTTTGTAGAACATTACGAATTTCTTATTTGGTAAATCATACCAAAACTCGACACTTCTAAATGAAGACACTGAAGCCGAACAGAATTATCACAATATTCATAATGCTTTGGAATTATTGATATCCGACATTACATGAGTACAAGTTTGAAAAAACAGAATTGTATTTATTCGTTATAATTCAGTCAACCTATCCGAACGATTGGCTTAAACGGTCTATTACTGCTGATCTTTTTCAGTGCCCTTCAGGAAACCGAATGTGTAGTCTTGTGTATTTACAATAATATTTTTTTTAACTTTAATTTTTTAAGTTTGTTTGTGCATTTCAAATATTAATTTACTCATTTAATTTCTTCAATTGAGTTCCATAATAACAACAAGAATCCAACGATATATTACAACCATTTCAAGCGAAATAGCAAATCAAATCCAATATTCCAATATTAAATTTTTGGAAAATTAAAATTGTACCCTAAAAATGTATATGTAAATTAAAATACATTAAGTAGATTAAGAACTTTTTTCTAAATCAAGTAGTGGTGATTGCAAGTTATTTTCTTTAATTCTCCTATATTTTGTGTTTTTTTTATAAATCTTTTTAAAATCCTTATAATTGTACGTGCAAGTATTAATAAATTGGCTAAAATTAATTGTTACTTAGTTATTAATTGATTCTTCTCTTGGCTTTTCTTCCTTCTTATTTTTCGTAAAAGAAACCTTAAAAATAGTAGGCTTTAAATAACCTCCTTAATGATAATCCTCTTTACCGCACTTAATATTAAAATTCCTTGTTTTGCTATTAAAAGCATGTTAAATTTAAAGTGAGTGAGGCAATAAGTATATAAAATGGTGATAAATATTTGTTTTTCCTCCCTGTATTGTAATTGTAGTTTTAAATAATTAATGTACATATCTGAAATTAAATTGTATTTTTAATGGCAAATTATTTATTATACATAAAATAATTTTTACTTACTTCTAGTAATTATAAAATTTTGATTTAAATGAGAATCGCCCGCTTTGTCTACTTTGTTATATGGTATATGAGAGACGTGCACACAGGAATCTTTTAATTTTACTACATTTTGCTTTGTAAATATTTTAGAATTAAAGCAGGAATTCAATTTTCCAATACTTTTGCATTCAGTACTGAATGTTAAGTGAAGCCTAAAAATTAATAATAATTTTGTATTAATTGAAATGTAATTGATTTCTTAAAATAAAGTTAATTAAATACCAAGTGAAATACCTATAAACGCAAACTTTTTAAAGTTCTAGTTATTGTTAGAAAATTTAGAAATCAAACATAATTTTTCATAATGTTTACACATTTTGAATTGCAGTCTTTTAAATTTTTCATTATTTCAATGAACTCTTTAGCATTAATTAGAGTCACGGGCATGCTCTAAAAATAATTTATTTTATTTTAATTAAAAGCAAAGTAAATTTAATTAGTCTTCATTTAAATTTTTGTATTTCTTGTTTGTTTCCCTTCTTTTAAAGAGTTTTTCATAGCATAAATCGTATACGCATAACCACCTTTTAAAGCAAATTTTCTATTTCCATTAAATAAACATGCAAAACATCAAAATAAAATTTAAACCAATTCTTTTAAAAGTACCATAAACTTCATATGTTTTTTAAATTATTGTTTTAAAAACCATTTCTTCTTCAAAATAATATAGAAGTTCCATACACTCTGTCACTTTCTAAGTATTACATTAAAATAAAGAAGTGAATTTTTTACCATTCCCATCCTACAAACCTTCCCCCCCCCCCCTCTCTAAAAAACTTCAATGAAATAACAAAAAAAAAAAAAAAAACAAGAGTCTTCTAAACAATGTTTGTGGGTATTTCTTTTTTTGTTAGCAAATTTTACATTTACATATACCCACATTATTTCTTAACTGAGATTTATTGACGGTAATAATGCTAAAGAATCAAGGATACTACTTAACAAAATCACAAACACACACAAAAAGAAAAAACAAAGCAGCAAAACATCGAATATATTTTATGTAATTTTCACTTTTACCTTTTATTTTACTCCTCGCTCTATATTTTACCACAAAAAAAAAATCTCAAATGAAATCAAATAAAAATTCCAATGATTCCATAGCCAGCCCTTCTCTTGTTATTATTTAAATTATTTGTCTGGCATATTAGAGTGTGTTCTATGGATTGTATGCGTATATACTTTATATTCGTAACCGCCCCCTCCTCCATAAAAATAGCTAATAATTTACACAAAAATTTCAAAATTGGATTTTAAATTTTACAAAATGCGAATGCGAATCCTTTAATTTTTAAGCAAAATAAAATGTGAATCCCTTTTTTTTTAGATTTTTTTAAAATTATGAAAGAATGAGAAAATCTTTATTAAAGTTTACAAAATATTTATTCTTTGATTAAAGATTTTGTACTCAATAAAATTAAAATTCAAGCTGATTTGTATTAAAAACGATGCAAGACCAATAATTAAGTCAGAAAAATAATTTTAAACGGTCTTTTTTTTCAAGTTTTTTATTACAGAATTGTGCCGCGTTTAAATTCCACAATGATTATTCGATCAGTCGTTTAGTTATTTTATAAAAGAGTGAGGCAGTTACAGTTTACTTGAGTAAAAATTGAGATTTATCATTGTTATAGACATCAAAATCCAGATGCAAAATGGAGCTAGTACACACTTCACACACTTCCAAAAAAAAAATTTAATTACCAATAAATAGAAATGTGCAATAAAGATTTTGTACCTAAATATAACGCACCGAGGGACCGTTACACAACATAGAAAAAAATTTTCGTGACTAATTCAAAATAAACTCATTTCGTGAAAGTGTTTTAGAAGTTGTTCTTATATTTATAATCAAAATTAAAATCTTAATTTATTC